CTAGCAAAACAATCCCACGGATTTTTTTGCCATAAATATAATCACAAATGAAAAATCTTGTTTAAGCACTCTATAATTAGATACTTATTCGTTTTATTCGTAACTATCTAATTTTAAAAGAAGATTAATGATTATCGATTATCGATATTAGTATCGATTTGATGTATGAGAAATCCGGATGTGAATAAAATAATTTTATACCATTAAGCAGATTTGCTCGATGGCGGGCGAACGACAGCATTCCCAAAGAAGGTTGACGTCAGGCAGACGGCCGGTCAGATTTTTTTTGCCAAAACCTATAAGCAGTATGGGCGTATTGCGCCCACCCCGAGTAATTTGGGAAATGGGTAGGGAGAAGAAGAAGAAGCAGATTTGATGACGAAGCTATGAACACGTATCCAACAAAACAAAAATCATAAAAATCGGTCCAGCAGTTCTCAAGTTAAATGTTGTAACACGCCTGACTTTTGTTTTGAAGTATTCCATACAATAGAATTGGTCATAAATATGTTTTTTTTTTATATTTTTAAAACTATAACTAAGTGTATGCTTTAAAATTTCAATTGTCAAGTGATTCATTGTGGTACATTTTGTAAGTCTTAATACGAAATCATGAACGAATTAACCACAATTCGTTCATGTATGAAATATACGACAGACACACCGGCGTCTAATCTATTATAATTTCCAAAACTACCAACAAACTAAGTGATAGTGAACTGCATAGCAATAAAGATTACTTCGCAAGTCGCGACGTTATTTTAACCTCTGGTGAGTCATCCGAAACGAACACATTTCCGATTAGGTCTATTAATTGCGCTTTAACGCAACCGTATTATTTAGAACAATGTTGTACACGTTGATTCATATTTCTTTATATTTCTTAAGTAAAACTAAGTGTTATAGCAAAAATAAAATATATGTATTGCCAATAGTACGGGCCGATCCACACTATAGTGCCGGTTCGTTTTCGGTCCGACCTTGATCTGTTAAATTCTTATCATGTTCACATAATGCAATCAGGCTTGAGTCACGATTCAGTTTTATTTGTCAACAGCCTAATATTTCATGTCATGACAAGTTCGATCTCGTTCAGTCAAGTATACTTTGGACTCCAAAGCATATTTGACTGAACGAAAGTGTCTAAAAAGAAGAATGAAAGACTCCCAAAGTTTGGAGAGAATGCCCTCATTGTTTCTTGTATAAAAATACGTTACCAGACCAATATCGAACCGAGAACGAAATAGATCGGCACTATAGTGTGGATTGGTCCTAATGTCTGCGAATGTATAACTTGAGATGCATTGTTTTTTTTTCAGATTAAAAAAAATAATTCATAGACACACAGTTCTCGTGACCAGTGTAACTCAATTCAAGATATTCAAGCCGTTAACCTATACCATACCAAATAAAACTTTTAAATTAATAAAAATTAAAAATACATAACATAATATTATTTCGCTATAAGATAAATATTGAAATTGTTCTACTAAAACACAAATCACAATAAACTTATATTGACGTTAATATTAAAATAAACCATTTACTTTATAATTTACTTTATATCAGATATGACATTATCATACATACATTCAGCTAGGTATATGTCAAGGTTTTAGATTTAAGACTTCATATTCAAATACACAATACGTACCTATATACTATATAATATTTAATATGTGTGTATAGATATATTACGAGTATATTGATCAATCATATTTCAAGTGTTGTTTTTACTTTCTTTTGTTTAAAAAATATAAATTAAAAAGAGTAACATATTCTCCTTTCTTTTACTGCTGTAATTTTATGTAAATTCCATTAATTTACTAACAAAGATTTTATTTCATAATCGAACGTCATGTTATATTTTACCTAGACAGAGACTATCAGTATATTTTTCAGCAAATGTAAATATTCGGCATCAAAGCCTTGATCTCCGGCGTAGAAGGCAGCATTTGTCAGACACGTGCTGATGCACATGATGACCACATATGAAATGTCATAAGGCGACATTTAATAATAATTTGCATTCAAAAAACTTATTAGGTAGCGTCATGTAATAAAAATAAATCCTTTTTAATATACACTGATTGAGTATTAAAATGAACTTATAATATATACTACTATTACAAAAAGGCAGAGTTTGTTTGTTAGTTTGTTTATTTGTTTGTTTGTTTGAACGCGCTAATCTCAGAAACTACAAATCCTATATGGTTTTTTTTTTCATTTGATAGCCAATTTATTGAGAAAGGCTCTAAGCTATATAGGTACTCGTATGTATATTCACGCTACTACCCAAGGGAGCGAAGCAGTAATCATAAATGTCAACAAATCTGGCAGACTTCCATACATTATTATAAAACTGATGTTTATAATATGTTTAAGTGCTTTAAGCTCAGAAACTACTGAGCCCATTTCAAAAATGCCTTTTGCATAAAGCCAGATTTTTTTTGTAGTTTTAGGGCGAGCGGACTAAATTGGGTGAGTTTAGTTAATAGAAAATTATTTCAAAGCTACTTTAAGATTCTATAATATTCTTCGTTATCTTGTTACATTATTGAACGCTTAACCAATCTGTGCATCGGTTTTGTTCTTCGCTGATTTTGCCAAAGAAATCCATTCTTCTTTTCATCCATTCTTCCTCATCATCCATTCATCTTCTCTTTGTGGTAATTTGTTAATTCTTTACGCTGTAAAGGCTCAATAGATTTGAGGATAATAATTCTGAAAAGAAGTAGGGAATTTCCCCAACAAATACATAAATTTTTGTCGGCGCACCTACCATGCCACGAGCCGCAATTTAAAATTAGTTAGACAAGTTGAAGAAGAAGTTCTGCTTATAAGAAAATTACCGTTTTTTATTTTACATATGTACTTCAAATTCGTTTACATCAAATAATATCGCACAAACATTATCGTTAACTTGACGCGATCTCTTCATGTTGTTTTATAATATAAAAAAATCAAAAAACTTTATTACCTATAAAAAAACAAGCCAAACAGTTTTTCGAACTTTATAGACTAGAAAAACCGGCATACAATATTACGTATAGAGGGGCAAATTTTCATATGTAACACTCCCTCTACATAGAAACTATATTTACTTACATTCATATGATTATAAAAAGTGTATATATATGTGTGTGTATATATATATATACTCATATACATATATATGTTTGAAGCTCGTTATTTCACCCCTATTATAACTTATTTCATTTATTAATAGACCAAGGTTAAATTATTTGATCAATAGTAATAAATTTCACAGTTTCATTGTTTGTATGTTCATTTCTTTCAATGGCTTATTATCATTTTCTTAACAACAGAGTCGAATACTATTCTCACGTGTTCGATACAAATTGATATTTAATCATTATTGCCTGTAGCATTATACCATAAAAACAATAGCAAAATAAAATTCATGTCAAATTATATTCAAAGTTATGCAAAATCAAAAGTCATCACAATACAACGTCTCGCTTAAATGCTGTTCATGTTTACGAGGAAGTTTACATACATATTTATATATGTATTGTAACATATTATATATTCAGACCACACACATAAATTTATTTATATCATAGAAGCCACATAAATTGATATTACTATCATAATATATCACGTCGCGCTTACAAAGTTATCGCGTCGACAGTCGTCGGTTGAGAACTTCTCGTATCGATAAGCAGTAATGCAATTCTTCTTTATTTTCTGTACTTTGCTTTAGTTTGATTTAAGAATAAATAATAATAAATTAAAAATTTTAAGAACCCCCTCCAAATTATTATTTATTATCTACGATTTTTTTCAGTCCGAAGCGGTCCTCCAACGCGACGTATTTTTTTTAAAATTATTAATACATAAGTACTTAGGTACTTTAAGATTGGAGTTTTTTTAATTATTTTTTACTTGGGTTTTTGTGTCAGGATTTTTTTTTAATTTTAATTTTATTTTTTATTTAATACTTTTTATAGGTACATACTTATTATCATGTAGATTTTGTTAGTAAAAACCTTTGATGATGTAGCAATTTGTGAGCTCGACCAAAGAAAACTATTTAATAACCCACATGACAAATCATCTTTTGCAGAATTGCAAAGACTGAGATGTAGTAATTGATACTCTCCCAATTTTCATCACTCACTCTCATCACACGAAGTTGAGAACACTCTCGATTAAGTCATCAATATTATCTTTCAGTGCGCTTTCATTTGAGACCCCACTCAAGTATATTTGCAGACATTCGGTTATTCTTCCCCACTTTCACCCCCCACAACTTTTAAACGGCTCAACCGATTTTCATCAAACATGTCTAAGAACACTCGCACATAAGTCACCTTTAATACAAAAAAAAACTAAATAGAAATGGCTTCATCCGTTCGAGAGCTATTATGCCACAGACAGACAGACAGACAGACAGACAGACACACATACAGACACGTCAAACTTATAACACACCTCTTTTTGCGTCGGGGGTTAAAAAACTTCTGTTTTGATTGTAGAATTGAGCAATGTCGCCATATTTCTAAGCGGCACATCTAGAAAATATGATGTTACCGGCGCTTGGTCAGTGTGGTGGACTATAGCTCTCGTATTGAGCGGACCGTGCCCACTGCCCAGTGGGACTATAAAGAGCTGAATACATACATACATTTACAATAGGAGTAAGTACTATATTAATTTGACACTAATACTTAGACGACGGCCTGTTATATATACCTATACGTCCCGCACATATAGACTTATAGTGGTCAGTTACCCTTCAGGCGGGAATCGGACCCATGACTTCCGGTGAAGTGTTTCTATATAGTTATTGGACCAGATGGTCGTCGCTTTAAAACGAAGTGCATAATTTAATTATTTTGTTTTTGCATTTTATTGAGATCGTTTATTTATCTTTTGTTCAAAATTTTATTTTAAGCGCACTTCTAAGGCATATAAGAAATCGTCTGTTACTTTTTTAATACAAAAATTATTTTGGTATAGGCACTTTCACAAACCTGAGCGTGCCGTAATTGATTCACGAGCGTAGAACATCTCTCTGGATCCTTTCGACCGTCAAAACTGTCCAACTCGGCAGCGATCATATTTAGAGCGTCATCAGCAAAGAAAAACTGGGCAAGCAGTGAACGGTCGTCCCTCTGGAACAAAGAAAATAAAATTTAATAAAAATTAGTAAAATTACTATGAAATATACATGAATACTACTCATTCATGAATATTTTTATAATTTTTTCACGGATTTTCCAGCGTTTTATTAAAATAACAAATCTTGAATGATTATAATTACATAAAGATATATACTTAATATGATAGTTAAATTTCGATAAAAAAACAATACCTAATTCTTTTAAATAAAAAAAATCAATTTAATAACATTTATAAATATAGAATTAGTAATAATAAATTGTAATAAAAACTAATTGTACTCAATAAAATAACCTTAATTTTTATTATATCAATTCTTTCTTGGTAAGCCTTTAATAAGCCCTTTAATAAAAACAACAAAACATTAATACGTATGACCATATCAAGGCCATAAAATTCACATAATATATTCAACGAGTGTGAAAATTACTTCCTAGCAAAAAAAATCATTTAAATCACAATTGTAAAATCACACACTTATGATTACTTATAATATACGGAAGTGTTTAGTGACAGACGTAAACAAACCGAAATATAGCCGAATATATACAAAAAGTAAAAAGCAAATAAAAATATGTAGTTTTATGAAACTAAAAAAAGTGCGTGAGTGTTCAATTCACACTTGGTAGAAGTGAAACTTCAGAAAAGTAACCTACGAGAGAATAGAGTATCAGGAATAGGATAATTATAAGATTTATTTTTTTGTAATATTTTTACCAAGTTTTAATGTTAAATTACATTTTATTTGACATAAATATACATTACAAATCATTCAGTAATTAGTTTTATTATTTTTCACTTCCTCTGTAATGTATTCTATGTCAAATAATTAAATAAGGATATTACAATCATATATATTTTATAGAATATCATATACGGAAAGAATATAATATAATTTTATATACTCTCGTGAGCAAAAAAATCGACTCAGACGACACATCTGTAGTCGCAAGTCACTGGAAAAAAAACTGAAAGCAAATATATTTTTTTCATAGTAAAATCTTAAAGCTGCTAGTATTAGCTTCAAAATGATATAAAATATTGTAAGGTTTATTGCTCACACAACCCAACAATATGTTGTGATCAGTAACCACCCTTTTTACGCTTGTTTACAATAGTGCTAATTAAGAGTTACTGACCCATATAAAAGGTTATCTACCTGACCCACCCTTATCAGTTAGCCGTCAAACGTCAACCGATACACATCTCCGTTATCAACAATCAAGAATTCTACCTGAAAATGGACACAATAACCGATTTAACAGCTCAAGCGATCACCCTATTGCGACAAGGACAGAGTCAGCGTGAAGTGGCACGTGCACTGAACATGAGCCAGTCTGCTGTTTCCAGAGTTTACCGTCGTTACCAGGAGACTGGTGGCTTTAATCGAAGACGCGGTTCCGGTAGAAAAAGGTGCACATCAGAGAGAGATGACCGATTTATTGTCAGCACATCGTTAAGAAATCGGGGACTCACTGGCGTTCAAGTCCAACAAGAGCTCAGAGAAACGCGAGGAGTAGCTGTGAGTGGCTGGACAGTCAGAAGACGACTTAAGGCAGCTAGGCTTGAGCCTAAAAGGCCAGCTACTGGCCACAAATTAACCCCAGACCACCAAGCAGCCCGCCTACGTTTTGCTAGAGAACATGTTGATTGGACTGACGAACAATGGAGCACCGTTCTCTTCTCAGACGAAAGTAGAGTGTGCTTGCATGGTAGTGATAGAAGAGGACGAGTCTACAGAAGACCTGGGGAAAGATTCGCGCAGTGCTGTATCAAAGAAAATGTTGCTTTTGGAGGAGGTTCCTGGATGGTGTGGGCCGGCATTTCAAGCGAGGCAAAAACCGAGTTGGTTTTTATTGAAACTGGCGGTCGAATGGGAGGATTGACGGCGATCCGATACATCGAAGAGATTTTAGAGGATCACGTCGTTCCCTACGCCGGTTTCATTGGCGAAAACTTCCACATACTGCAAGTTCCGTCCGGCAGTATTTACAGGAGTTCGCAATTGCCGCTATGGACTGGCCAGCGCGTAGCCCGGACTTAAATCCTATCGAGTATTTGTGGGATGATCTTAAAAGAAAAGTTCGGGCTAGAAATCTTGCACCAGACACGATGGCGGACCTCATAGCAGCGCTAATCGACGAATGGAATAGCATCGAACAAGATGGAGTAAGGAAACTTATTCGATCCATGTAAAAGCGATTGGAAGCTGTTATTAGGGCCAAGGGGGGCAACACTAAATATTAAAAAAATAATTTTAATTAAATTATTGTTTTGACGAATTTTACGTGGTATTTTCTTTACCGTCAACCATCACTTTTTTTATTGCTTAAGACTCCATCTCATTCAATATTTTTTCTTTACCAGAAAACATTTTTTAATAATAACATAGACCACTCATTTTAAAGCTAAAACAAAGAACTTTGAGATGTTAAAATCAGAAATATAATAAAAGCTTCCGATTTTTTGCTAGAGCTTTTTAACCGCAAGCCTGCGTCCTGAGTCGATTTTTTTGCTCACGAGTCATTTGTCAGACAATAACAACGGTTACCATGTGTTAAGACACGTCTGACACTTTATTGCGTGGCAACTTTACCATCGCCCACATCGTGTGGTCCTTGCCTAATTAGACGGTCATCGATGTGAAGTGATTTGGATAATCTGTGCGTTCAATAGACAATATAGTGAAGTGACAGAACGTTAGCTATATAAGGCAGTGATTTTATATTAAAAACCCTTATTCTTATTCTTACTCCTAATCTTATATGTACTCTTATAACCATTGTCGTCATACTCAGTATTTTGTGGAAATCAAATACAGTAATCCAAAGGACGACATCTTTCATTTACAATCTCTTCAAAAATACAAAAGTTCGTTGCAAACAAAATGAGACGAACATATGGCGCCCGAACAGGGACTTCCAAGAAGACTTCCAAGCAATCCAGCACCAGAACACGTGGCCGTCATCTTATGCCGAGCAGTGACGCAGCGAAAGCCGCACCTCGCAGCATGAAAAGATAAGTGCCCTATATCTATCCATTCCTAATTAATCCCAACCTTTTTCCAAATTATTTTTCCCTATTTTTTAATAACCATGTTTCCCAATCCTATATCCTAATCGATCCTAATCCCTTTAATCCCTATTCATTTCTTCCTATTTCCATTTGTATTTCAAATTTAGCATTCCGCTTTTGCAAAATTTATAATTATTTTCGGTTTAATTTTTATTTAAAACAAAAATGTGTACATATATTCAATTTTCTTGTTAAAATTTCTTCATTTAATACAAATATATAATAAATTTTTCAATTTAACCTCTAAATGTCCTTTATTAATACATTAAAAGTAACATTTCAAAACAACCTATATTATTCTAAATTTAACTTTCCTTATATTATATTATATATATAAAACAAACTTAATATTTTATTATAGTAGATTTAGAGTCAACAGCATCAATTTTTGACATTAAAATACATTTAGTTGAAAACATAATTCAATTCTAAAGGCAATAATAAGCCTCAATCAAAATTATATTTTTGCGATACTTAGACGATTTGGCCGACTATTTCAGCGTTGCGGTACATGAGGCGCGCCACGTGGTCGGGGCTTCGCCATCTTGTCCTGCCGCGCCGCGCCGGTCTGCTATGTGTCGTTGATTGAGGAGCGTCAGATAAGACATTTACATTATTTTATTTTATTTTCCTTTTGAGGTGTCTTGTAATTAAGTAACTTTAATTCAATTGTAGTTTACATAATTCATATTCATATACATATACAAGTAACTTTAGTATTGTTCTAGTTCATACAGTTTTCTATTTTATAATTTTACTTACTATTATTGCATTACTATAATTACATAAAGTATTTTTTATCCATATTTTTCACAATGTCCGAACCTTCAGTATCAACTATGTACAAAGAGTCCGGGATAAAGGTTTTAATAGTAAAGCGCAGTTCCATAAAGGGACAAATTACTAAATTCAAAAATTATTTAGACAAGATTACAAGGCAATCTCAATTGACGGGTATCGAAGTGGCTGAGCTTTCACTGAAGGTCAGTCGCTTTGAGAGTCTGTCCGCTAAATATGATGAGCTGCAAACTCAAATTGAATTAATAAATGCTGATACTTTAGACGAAGAGCTCGATGAACGTGAACGCATTGAGCAAGATATCATATTATGTACCGCGATGGCAAAAAATATTATTGAAGAACAAAATGAATTAAAGAATTTAGAACAGGATAAGAGACGCCGTGAGTCCTTATTCCAAGATGCTCATTGTGGTCGCGATCATAATAATGAAAATTCTATAACCTTGCCGCAAATACAAATTGCAAAGTTTGATGGTTCATTCTTCCGTTGGTTAGAGTTTCGAGATACTTTCAATAATTTAATTCACAACAATAGCCGCATTTCATTAATTCAAAAGTTTCATTATTTAGTTTCTTTTTTGGAAGGCGATGCAGCTCGGGTAATTTCAAACATTGAGGTTTCCGCAGCCAACTATAACAGCGCTTATCAATTACTTTATGAACGTTACAATAATAAAAGGTTACTTGTAAATTATCACATTAAATCATTATTCAATATTGAGAAAATAAACCGCGAATCGGATACTTCATTACGCTCTTTAGTTGATCATGTTTCAAAAAATTTACGTGCTTTAGCTAACCTAGGTCAACCTACTGATCACTGGGACACGTTAATTATATATTTGGTTTCATCCAAACTCGATACGCAAACACTTGTTAAATGGGAAGAGCAACGCAATAGCTTAGGTGAAATTCCTAGTTTAACCGAATTTAATAAATTTTTAATTGATCGGGCTTATGTTCTTGAATGTACACGTCACAATAAGAATGATCAAGGTTCTAGTTTTCATAATAACAATAATAGAATTCAAAATTCAAAGCCTGTCAGTTATCATCATTATAATCAGCGTGATCGACCTATTTCAAAGTCATTTATTACTACAAATCCAAACGACAA